AAAACGTACATTTATTTTTTAAATACGCATAAAATCGATTTGACATTGTCGCCCGATCACCTCACGTCACAGCGCACGTAATAATCGACTTATTGAAAACATTAAACACGATACGTACGTACTTGAAATCCATACGTGCGTGAATCACAAAAGCGCAAATATCACATACGTATTTATTAGACTATTTAAGCGTGTATAAGGCATAGAAACCGAACGTAAATCACCATACGAGACGGCGGCGATACATCGTTTTTTAACGGTGATCGGTAGACGCGTGAAGTCAACACAGGCCGCGCCTCCGGACACGATAGGAATACTATAATAATAACCTAACCATCGGTCGGACACGAACGGGTATCAACCGCGAAAAACGAAATGCATGTACACGGGCGCTCGTGTCCGTCGATTATATAAATTTAAATATTCGGCTCACTCGTACACACACACACACACACGTGAGTGTATATATGCGCGTACAATACGCAGACGGGATTAAAGCCCCATTATATTATTATTATCGTCATCTCGAGTTTAAAGAAAAAAAAGTGTAAATAACAAAATAAACTACAACAAATTTCCACGTTTTTGTTTTTGATAAATGTTTTACGTAGGTATTAACATGGACTTGTCGCGTCCTCTTGTCGCCGCCGCCGAAGCAACCACGTACCTATATATATATATATATGTACGGTGTACGGTTCACGATACAACACGTACGCGTAAGAACCGGCGCGGGCAGACGTGTTGATGGGTCAATTTAAAAATCGTATAATTTAATTGAGTCGGTTTCGATGTACTCTTTTAAAACTATTCAAATCACGCGGCCGATATTATAATGCGGCGGCGGTTGCTGCGAGTTCGTATCCGCGACGGACCGACGACGGCGTCGAAACAAACATTAACTGGATTGTACGTTACACGGTAATAAATTAAATGGTAAACACTCTCTGTACGATAATGTGGTGTGTGCGGACACAAAGGGGCTGTTGTACCATTATCCGACAAGACCAGTTGTCGCCTACAAATTTCATTGACACCGTCGTCGTCGCAACAACAACAGGTATGCGTTGTACTCCTTCGACCGCGTCGGACGGTGCGCGGGGAGGTGGTGATGGGGGGGGTCACCCCACCGATGGAGTGTAACGTATAAACGCACGGACACCACCGCCGATCGCGGATCGACCTTGCCCGCGGAGTGTTTTTTTTTTTTTTTTTACAATACGTGTACGTACAATAACGTCAATACACCATTATAACATGATATATTAAATCAAACGTGTGTGTGTGTGTGAGTCGCGGACAAGCAGAAGGAACGGAGAACGACCGAGTGGGAAAGAGAGAAAGAAACATTGATAAACAATGATAAAATTGAACCAGACATTCGCGTATCCATTTAATACGCAGCGTTAGAAACAATTATTCGATTGGAGAAGATATTACGCCGGTAAGTCCGGAATATTGTAATACGTTTATGCGGAATGAAGCGCGTAGCCAAGGCGCGTACGGTAAATCAGTATCTTATCGAATGTCGTACCGCCGTTCGTCGGTAAACCTACGAATAAGATACACTTATCCCATTGTTGTTTAAAAGTAAGGCATTACTTAACAATGCAAAGATCTTCGTCGCGAAAATATAACTTTTCGTATTCAAGAAAATTGAGTAGGTAAGTACATTAACTCAATTTTTATTTTCTCCGTTGTTTTTTTTTTTTTTTTAAATAATAATTAATTTCGTTTTTATATTCATAAGTTATAGGATTTTAAAACGTGAGGTTTCTAAATGGTCTTATGATAAACTTATGTTTTTTTTTTCCTATTTAAACTTTGGTAGTTGGTTGTACAAATAAACCACGGAAGAAACATATTTTCATTAAAATCAACAGTATTTTTAAACGAAAAATACGAATTTAAATAGTTCATCGCAATTTGGTGGATAAACTCTAATGCAACAAAAATTTTTTTAGTGTATTGTTTCGTCGAGGAAGACGAGGATTTATATAGATGGATTCGAAAATGTTTATGTTAATCCTTGTTTTGGTACACGAAAGACAGAAAATGATTTTTGCCCCTGAATACAAAATGTCTTAATCCGACACTGTCGCGCATGTTAGTCCTCCTCGCCACCACCGCTACAAACACGTTCATTCGCCGCCAACTCATATATATATATATATATATACAATTGGTCTGCGCGGTCGTATCCATATGTATATTTATTATGTTTATGGTCTGCGTTAACCACGCCAAATCGATCGGCTCGCACAGATATTAGCCGAGTTTCATGAGCATGTTCCACACCAAACGCCTTGAAATCCAACGTCAATATATTATATAAACCGTGGCATGCGCGAGTGCGTGTGTACGTGTTCGGAGTGTGTACTGTATACGAGGGAGATAAAACGAAATAGGTATATAATGTACACGGTGTCCGATTGAATCGCCACGGAACGCACATCCCGACTACGGTATAATGCATTTAAAAGTTTTAAATGGATTTCGAGAGCGACTTCCAGACCGTTTTCAAACATCAAGTATTGTTGCACTGCACAAACGTGTACATATTATGCTGCATGTGTGAAAAAAATAAATCAGCGTATAGGGACGTTGGAAAATTGGCACGCCTGGAAGCGTAATGAATTCCACGGATCACCGCGCGTGATATGGACATTGAGAGGAAAAATAACTTTTCTTTTTCTTCGATCAAAGGATTAAGAACAATCATGTTCCGATAACAGAGAAACCATGGTATGCGCAAAAGCAATCAGATCGTGTAGATAATATGTAACTCGTACGAGAACGATTCGATGCAATTAATAATTGTGAATTCAGAGCACACTCTCTGTTGTTAAGGTTCAATAGATACTCACGACTTTGTCGAGAGTTTTCGTGACTAAAATGTTACATCCATCTTACGGATCTTGGCATTTTGAAGGGGTTAATCGATTTCGATATCTGTTTTCTCACGTGTATTGAACTTGTCGTTATGTCTCAATAGATTATAACAGATGATTTTTGATATATATAAATATACCGTATGTAACTGTAGGTATAAATAACATATAATGTTTCAAGATAACATGTTCTGAAAACGTTGTGTTTCTTCTTACATTAACGGTCAAGTGTTCGAAGTACAATTCAATGTTTCATGCAGCCGTAATATCTTTAGTCATCTAACGAGAAAAAACTGCACTGTCAGACAGTGGCGCCTATGGATACGCTGAATAAACACACTTTAGCGATGGGCAGTAAAAAAATCCAGATTTTTAAGTATCATGAATCAATCCTGATGTACTTACGTTCCAACACGCAAATAATACTTCCGAGTACCATAATTATATTATATAACGTAAACGACGATAAAGTTACAAGACCGGTTGTACGAAAGTACTGCAAGATTTTAATTGTAATTAAAATTTACAATTTAATATATTTATTTATTTATTTTTTTTTTTAATAGATATCAACTCTTCTATTTTGGATTTTGTGTAACTTATGTGTAAACTAAGTTTTTGATAACTACCTATTCGTTAACGTCTATTTGGTTTAGATGAAATAGACACCAATATTATCCAAATACAGTTAGATGTTATTCTTAAAAAACGCTCGACGGCGATAATTTAATGTATTCCACGATTATTTAATATCTGTATTTTATTATGAATTTTAAAATTATGTATACAGTTCTTATAATATAGTGCGTATATGAATCTTTTATTTTTCACTATAAAACTCTTATAATTACTCATTTTTTAATACATGTGTTTTTTTTAAATATTTACTAAAACTTTCTCAATAAAATTAAATGCCATGCTTTATTATGGAGCAATAATTTATAATGGATCGCATCGAGTAGTAATAGTCACTTTAACCGAATGGAGTTTCGAGAAAAACCAGTTTAGATTCATCTTCTTTATAGAATAACATATCATTGCTATCAATGTTTATTTTTTATTAAATCTACATTAAACATCACGTAATTTCTGGCTCTGTTATAAAAACTCATAAAATTTATTTATTTTTCCTACTGAATTTATAAGTAAACAAACGTTTAAGAATACCGTCAACAGTTTGAATTCTTTATGCAAATTATAACTATGAATTCAGTATCACTCTAACTTTATTGTTGTTAATTTATACTATATTACTATTTTTATACTTGTTATGCTATAAGCTTTCGGCAGTTTATAAATTAATAAATTATTATATTGATTTATAGTCGTTTAATAATAATTCGTATAGTTTTTACAATTAGATTTTAAAGTAAATTTCAATAATATTAATTATTTATATGTTTAAATAAATAGTCTTAGGTATCTTTAAATTTAAATATTTCATATCTAAACTTCACATAGTGCAAATGATTATTATTTATAACTGATGAAAATTAACTAATAAATAATAAATGATAATTATTTTTGCATTTATAATAATTTGTAAAAAATTGTATATTTATTATTGGTAGAAACATATTTTTTATCATAATTTATGACTATATTTAATTAAATTAATTTACTTTATTATATTTAATACATACCTAATTTAGTATTTATTTTTATGCGCCATTTTTACCTTAAATGTAATATTAAAAGTTCTAAAATATCTTGAAAATACTTTTTAGTATATGTGCATATTAATTTATTTATATGTTTGCGTTTGCAAACCAACAACAATTTATATTGGCACAAATACAGTTTTGAAATTTTAAATTTTTGAATAATCCAAATTAATTTAGTTTCTCAAAATCTATATATATATATATATATATTTAGATATTATAGTCACCAAACTTTGCATTTTAATAATATCAAAACTATGTATACAATATTTATATTTAATCAGTTGAACTTTTAAGACTATTTATAAGACCTTAAATATTTTTGTATGTATGATTCGATATGGTAGTTTTTAAAGGCATTTGCATTTGAATTTCATAATTTTATACAAAATCGAATAATTAAATATGACTCCATTGAACTAGATAATAATAATATGTTATTTACCAATTGGTCCATTGGATGAAAATGGTGCGCAAGCGGCAAGAGGCAGGGTCAATTTCATATTGTTGCCGGTACCGCCGATAACGATTGCTGGATCAGGAGGCGATGTTTTCATATCTCGACAAAGACTGGACACGGAGAAATCTGTGCACTTAGTTACTGATGTGGAGTTGGCCATTTTGAAGAATATTTTTTGTTATTAGTTCACTGCTCGAGAACGTTTTGGAAGTACACAGAATTTCGTTGCACTGAAGACTATCTTGGTATTATATCAGTCAGATGATAAATATTTTCTCTGAAATTAAATAATTACAAACGATTTACCTTAAGAAAGTATTTTATCATTAGTCAATTCAATAACCAAACGCTGTATGTATATGTAAGTTAAGAAATCATTTAATTTTAACCAAAATTCAATGATAAAACGTGATAGTATTTAAATCCCTCCTGGTTTCCTCAGTGTCCGTCCGCGATTTTATTTGCAGTTTTCATGGTATAGCCCGAGTGCGTCGGAGGTTTTATTAACTACTTTAACTGAAAAACTCAATTGCATTAGTTTTCGTTACAATGAACTCCAAGACATCAATTTTTTTTTTTTTTTTTGTAACGGAAATTTCGTTAAGATGATGTTGAGAAATGTTTTGTTGAACACTTTATGTTTATAATGCCTCAACATGAAAAACTTCATGATTTTATGAATTATTCGACAGAAAATTATATTGTTTCTGAAGTAAAATTTCAAATTTCTATGTGGGCAGAAATGACAAGTAGTTCTGAAAGGACAACAAACGCCTGTGAGAGTTTCCATTCCAAGTTTAATTCGTTTATTTTGTCAACATCCAGATATTTATACATTTTTAGAAATATTAAAAAAAAATTCAAATTTACACTAAAATTGCAATCAAAGCAGCCACAAAAAAAAACTACGAAGAAAAAAGGAACAATTAATAACAAAATTGCATTCATCGAAGAAAATATTAATACATTTTAGAACAACCAAATTTCAAGGATAGATTTTTTAAAATCTATGGCTTTTAAATATCAACCACAACATAAAAAATAACAATGTAATTTATATGACTATAAAAAAAATACTAAGACACTCACCATTATTTGGTGTATGTTAAATAAACGAGATAGTATAATTTTAACATAAATATTGAATAAATAAAAAAAATATTTTTGAGGTGTAAGCCAGTTCAACTCTTCGTGGTAACCATGGTAATTTTAAATTAACTGGGACGCATTCGGGCGGTCAAAAAAAAAATTAATTATTTTTGGGACGCACTCGGGCGATACCTTTGTGTATACATGCTTACAGCATTAAAAAAATTACTTTTTGGGACGCACTCGGATATCCCCAAACTAGGAACGTGCAATTAATATGATCAATTATATTTCCAAATATTATTTTCTGCAGTGCTTGAGGTTAGTTATAATCAAATATTGAATCAAACATTTTTGTTGAAATAATTTCTTATAACAGATAAACTTTTTTTAGACTTTTTAATATTTGTAATATTGTTAGTAGGTAAATACACCTTATTAAATATATAAAAACGATAAGTAATTTATGATCTTATATTATTTAAAAACATTATTTTATAACTATATATATATATATATATATGTTTATTTATAGTTTTTGATCATTTATTATCATTTTTAATATTATTATTATTTTCATCAACCCTTAAATCAGAATCATTTTTTGAATATCTTCAGATAATATAAAATCAAAGATTATATCCAAATCCAGTGTTTATTTCCACTTTTTATTTAATTTTATCTAATTTCTTTTAAAATTGTATTAAATAAAATAAAATGTAAACCATTTATAGGAAATTAAAATCATACAATTTTTAAAATTGGAGTAAGAAAGGATTTTAAGTTAAAAAGGTGTAAAAATTCTATTACTTATACGAGATTTACATAGTTTTAAAAAATAAAACAACTATAATAAATGTAATTGAACCAATCAATAAGTTAAGAATCTTTTTAGTGGATTTGGTTTGAAGATTTACTATGGAAATTTTTTATTTTTAGTGATGTTCACTAATTTGGGAATTATTGGTTCTAGTATGTTATTGTGCCTGATCGAATATTTTTTTAAGTTAATATAATTTTTAAATACTCAAACACGATTAATTTTTTTTTAGAAAATCTAATTTGTAATCTTTTAAATCCTTATTAAAAGTTAAAGCTTAGAAAAAAAAGCCATTTTATAAAAATCAAAAGTAAAATATGTACTTATATATAAAATACGTTTTTAAGATTAGGTTATATTTTAATTAAATTAATGAAAACTTGAAAAAGCTTAATTCTTGTATTTCTTTTACAAAACGAGTATCATTATTTATTTGCTCAATTCAATATTTGATTTAACTTTATTTTTACTACAAGAAAATACAGTATAAATTACAAAACTTCTGTCTATACTATTTTTATTTCAATAAAATATATTTATATAAGTAAGGATAAAGGCTTCCATGTGGATTTATTCAGTGTTCACCATATTTTTTCTAAAATAAAAATACATTATTTGAATAAGTTAATTGATGTATAAGAAGATAGATACTATAGTTTTAAATCCTAGTGAGACACTCATTTGTTTGTTTTCTATCTATTTAAAAGACACATGTTGACTAATTTATAAAAAAATATAAATATATATATATATATAGATAAATTTTATATTTAGCCAAAATCCAAAAATGTGAATGATGTCTGGTACAAATAGTATAGTGTAAAACATATATTCGTAATGAATACCATTTTTCTAGAAAGTTAACAAAAACATTGTAATAGTTTTTGAACAATTTAATTTATTTTAAAGTACCTACTCATGTATTAATATATTGTGGTATCTCACACTGCACTGTTATATTTCTAGTACGTTTCAGAACAACATTTTCGCAATGAATAAGTATGGAATATCACATTCAATACGTCCCGATAAAACGAATTTATTCTACATTTCATATAATTATAAATAAAATTATATGTACCAATTATTTAAATGAAATTGGTGACAACTTCAAAAGCGATAATATCACTCACTCGAATATTTGGCAAATGTTTATAGTATCTATAACACTGTATTATCCTTAAGTTTGATTATAATGTGTATAAATAAATACCTTTTTGCTATAGTATGTACCAATAACCAATGTAGGAATTTACTTAATATTATACCACAGCATCTTTATTCTTATGCTTTTGTAAACGAACTAATCTCGTTATAATTTACGAGGGAAGTAAATTGAATATTTAACTTGAATATTTACCCGTCTGGCAAATAATATTAGATATATAAAGGTATGTATTTATTTTATTCAATAAATTATGTAAAAACTAAAATGTAAGTAAATGTTTTAGCACCCCAAAAGAAAATCAATCTATCCGTCCATGTAGTATTATAGTATAAATAATAAGTACAACATCTCAAATTTAAATTATAATATATTAATATATGTATGAAATATAATATTATGTAGCTACAATCATAATTGATTGTATACAACAAACCATGTGAATAAAGTTACCATCTTACACGTCAAACATTAGTTATACGCACTATATTTTAGCAATAAAGCATCTATGCCAATAATAATAAGTATTAAGCATGCAAAATATACTCATTCAATTGTTAAAATTATACTATTTGTCCTAAATATTATTTTGTATTTATAACTGAGAAGTTTTCAAAGACAATGTGAATCTATTTATCTACATTTAATATACGCGCATGCCTGATTTGATTGCATTCTACATCAACTGCAAAATATAAAACTCAATATCGTTTTATTTAATTAAATAAAATGATGAAAATTAAAGACAAAACCGTTTACGTCTACAATTACAATGTTAAAGATAAAAATCTGACAATGAAAGATATAAATGATTTAGTGTCAGTCCTACACAATGATAAGATGTTTTTATATTTCCATTGTATTTCTGTTATTAACGAATAAACGGTGCACTGAAAGAAAGCCCACTTAAATTGAATGTAAAACTGTACACAACCACATAAATGTATATTGAGGTTTTAGGAAAAGACACGTACAAACGATATGCTCGATTTGTAAAAAAAATAACGTTATTCTCCTTTATATTTTGTCAGGCTGAAAAGAATCGCCGCCGCTTACCGTGGCGATTTTCAGGTAATTTATTGAACGTTTGCGATTAATAGCGATATTAACTCGTGATAATGTAATAACGATTAACAAAAACTTATTTTCACTCTATTCATAAAATTGGTTCCGATTTTCGTTTGAGAAATGAAATAATTGTTTCTATATTATCGATACTTAACCGGAGTACGAGCGAGTAAAAATATATTGTAACAACATGGCGTGTAGTCTAGCACAACATAATTATTAATAATTGACGCAAACTCATAGAAACTGCACGATAGTAAAACACTACCTAAACAAAAAAACATTAAACATGGTTTTACAAAAGTAAACAAGGTACCTATAGTAAAAAAAATTATTGAAAAAAAATTGTGATAATACTCAATACGTTATTCAAGTTGCGGGTTAATATTTTATTTTAGTAACTAATGTCAATTCGTTAAAGTCTTATACTATTTTCGTGTCTGTTGTTTTTACCACATTGAATAAACCAAGAGACTCGGAAAGTTTAATGACTGAAACTTTTAATTAAAAAGGTAATTTAAGAGGTAATAATGATCATATCTAAAACATATGAATGGCATAAATGGTTTTTAAGAGGGTTGTGAAGTAACTAGCGATGAATCCTATGCTGGTCGACCCTTCATTTGAAGAAATGTTGAAATGGTGTCAAAAGCTCTTGAAATTATTCGATGAGATCAACAAATAACGATAAGAAAACGTTTTAGTGTGTATAACGCTTCCTGTCAATTATTGCAAGATATTTTCACAAAAAATTTATACATTTGAGGAGTCTGTGCTAAAGTGGTTTCAAAATCGTCAACTCAACATCAAAAAAGGTCATTGACTTGAAATTTGTTAAAGTTTAGTATAATAAGCGCTGAATGATCCAGAGATTATTAAATATATAATAACTGAAACATAAGTCTATGGTTATGAGATAGAAACCAAACAACAATCGTCACAATGCAAATCCGTAACACCACTGTAACACATAAAAGTTCGTTCAAAATGCGAATACTATGTCGATAAAAAATGCTGATATTAAAGAATTTTTTTAATTAAAAATCTGTTTACACTGTTCAAACGTTTAATCAGAATTTGAACAATGAAGCTATAATTAAATTTAAAGAAAGAATCCGAAAGAAACGTCTAGAACAGTTCCTTGGCCTATCGTGGTTGTTGCATCACGACAACGTGATCATTCCGCCTAATCGATCCCCGATTTTAGCTCAGCATTTCCCAAACTGTGGTCCGCACATATACCGGAGGGGGTCCGCGAACGTAAATTTAAAATATACAAAATATTATTATTTATTATTGTTTTTTAATTTTTACTTGTACTAAGGGGTCCGCGATCATTTTTATTATCTCTAAGGGGTCTGACAGAGAAATATTTTGGGAAACATTGTTCTAGCTGATGAATGAATTCCAGTTCTTCTTAACCCCCACCCCCCATGACCACTCGTAAAATCAGAAATTACATGTACTCACAAATTGGAAACATCGTAGCCTTTCGGCGAACGGAAAAAAACTATTTCATTTCCACGATGCATTTGAATCGATGTTCGGAATGTACCGATATCAAAAGCTCGTGTTCGGACGCAGCAGATTATACGACAAGCGTTTGCGTTGGTAATGGGAAAAAAATGCGAATCGTAGGCGTAGACCGTTATGGGTTATGTGATTTCTTGTTGACACTTACGTGGCTTACGACGACGGCTACTTGGGTTTTCCGCGTGGACCGATCGATCGACGGTCGCAGTGCAGCATGACGCGCGCGAGCACGTTGGCGTCAGGAACTCGACTGCTGTTGGAATCGCGAGAACGGGAGGCGAAAACAATTTTCAAAAAAAGGATAAAAGAAAAGGACCGACGTCGCGATGGTCACCGTACGTGGGCGGTGCGGAGGACACGTGTGTGAGACCCGGCGCGGAGGACACGCGAGGACGAGATCGAACCGTACGGTGGTCGGGCGGTGGCTGGTGCTGCTGTGAACGCCGTTCCCGGGAGACGTGGTAAGAATGTGATTTGTTGCAAGTGGACGTGATGAACTCGGTCGTGGTCGACCGAACGCGTCCGCTCGTCAAACATAGACTACCGGCCGCGGGCACGCGGAGCACCGCGGACGGAGAGCGACGCAGCGGCGTGAAGAAGGGGAGTGCGCGGCGGCGGCGGCGGCTGCGGCAGACGGGCCGGAACGAGTGCGCGTGCGTGTACCGATCGGAACGGGTACGGTCGGCCGGCCGCGGGAGACGGGTACGCGCGAACGGACTCGCCGCCCGGGCGTCTCCCGCCGGTGTCCTCCTCCTTCCGGCCCGGGCTAATCGGCCGCCGACCGCCCATCGGCCACTCCTCCCGGTCCCGAGAGACGTTGTCGGCGGCGGCGCGCGCGCACGGACTGCCCACCGACGCGCGCGGCCACTTCGCCGCCACTTCCGCACGACCGACCGCCCCCCGCAGGACGCGCGCGCTCCAAAAACCGCCGGCGCGCCCTTTCGGGAAACCCTCCGCCGCCGACCCGGGCGAGCGCGCGCTTTCGAACCGGCCCAAAGTCGTGTACACAACAACGTCCGTTGCTATACGTGTACCTATACCAATTACCGCGTACACGGTCCAACGTCCAGCGTGTTGCATGCGTACGCACGACGCGCCAAGTATCCACACACGAACGGTATACACCTCAATCGGACGTATCGGGTAGGCGCACGCCAACCGATCGCGTTTTCCGGTTACGTACATACATTTTTTATGGATTTTTAATTAATTTTTTTTTTGCCGAGCATATGTCGGGTTATAAACTTTTTCGTTTTATTTTTCCGTCGTCCCCGTCGAATTTGATAAGATATACACGTGTCCATTATAATAATATACGATACAATCCTATACACTTCCTACATGATAATTCGTACGCTTATCGTACGTATTTTCAGTACACATCAATATTTTATGTAAACCGAACGTTTTAACTCGGTAATCGTAATCATACGCGCGTAGGTATATTATTTACCACCATTTACAACGTACAATTACAGATGCATTAGGTTTGATTGTTAAGTGTATTCAGTTCAATATATCCATTTACCATCTTGGTGGTTGCTATTATGTACACTGAAAATCGAAAATATTTCTAAAACTAATTCAATCATATGTATAATATACATGTACCACCCAACAACCATTTATACGTTCGATTTATAGTTAAAGAAATAAACTAAAGTTTTTATTTTGGTTTGGAATTACATTTTCTATTAACTCATGTAACCAAATTTAAGTATCAATATATAAATAAAAAACATACAACCATAGTGATCTTATTTATACTCAGTTGACTTTATGAATATGGGCACCTTACAAAAATATGATTTTCCTTATAGAATGATTGCATTTCTACTGAGTGTTTGAAATTTGTGTAATTTCTAAACCCAACCTAGTATCTAATAGTTAATAATTATGTACGTTTATAAACTTTGCTACTTCGATGATTTATGAATCTATAACATTTAAATTTAAATAGTGGTATACATATAATGAAAAAGATCCGTACTTTTTTTTAGTATTTTACCACACAATGGTCAAAATTCTAAAATATCAATATACAATTTATGTGGGGGGGAGGGGGTAAGTATTATAATCCAAATAAATTTCATAAAACAAACTTTTCAGAGTGTTTAGGCAGTAGGTAAAAATCCTTAGAATAAGCACTGATTTATATATGATACACAAAAATTTGAAATTTGGTTTATCAATAAACAATTACCTATATAACTTAATAAAATTATCATAAATAAAATGTACTTAGAAATAAAATAATACTTCAAGTCCAGAAACTTATGAATTTATATTGATAATTAAAAAAGTAATTGGAATTCATTCATAAAAAGAGGACAAATCAATATACTATTTAGAAAATTGTTTTGGCCAATAAGATGCGTAGAGGTGAAATAATGAATAATCTTGTACGAAAATTAACGTATTAGCTTACCCTAAATGTATGTCATAATTCATAATATTATGTTTAGTTATTGAATCAGAACTCAAAATCTACCACAATAACCAGCACTCGTGGGCTCTTGGACATTTCGGCGACATCCTAAATTACAATAATTGCCTGCAGTATCTAAATAATTAGTTGAAAAAAATAAAAACTAAGGTAATTATAACAGATATTTATAAAACGATAAAGTAATTAATATTAAGATAGTCATTTCACCAATTGTTCATTAATTTTGTTATCAAAATTATTCTAGTTTTAATATAAACACTAGCGAAAAAGTCACTAGTAAACCATCCCTTCTTCTTTCTGGTTTTTAGATTCTGAGTGAAACGAGGATTGGTTTTGCCTTCATGTATATGTGTTTTTTTTTATCTGTCTACACAATTTTGATCAAAATTATTGTTATGATCATCAGGAGATTTCCGAAAAATTATGTAAGCTGGTAAGGGACATTATTTTACTGAATTTATAACTTATTTAATTCCTCATCAGTTTTTCCAATAGTTGGTAAAAAACGTAGAAAAAATAATAAAAAAACTCCAACCAATATCAAATTTCAAACTCGGTATCGTCTAGTATTTAAAATATGAATATATTATTATTATTTTTTTTTTTTTTTTGCGATTGATTATTTAATGTTTCAATGAAACGCGACAAACCGATTTCTGCAAAATTTTTTGAAAATATCTGAAAAAAAGTACATTATTTTTTATATATTTCTGTAATAATTATATAATGTATGATATTAAAAATATTTTAATTAATTAAAAAATTAATTTGACTATTCATACCATAGTGGGGAATAAGTGAACCCTTTCTTATTTAACCCCTTTTCTAATTTAAGACAGAATGGATAATGGCCCCTAATTAAATACAGAAATTTGATTATTTTATCACTTACAAAATTCTAAATTTTTATAGGTCACTAATATCAAATAATAGTAGCAACAAAATATAAATTATTCTGAACAAATGGATATTTTTAGAAATATCCATATTTAGATTCATTTGTAGTACTTTACCTAAATTACTTACTTACCTCAGAAAATGAAAATAATTACTTTCGAGATTTTCAATTTCTGTTACTAAGAAAAAATACATATATTAAGTTATAACTTGTATACAATTTACAAGTTTTACAAATAATTCATGCATTTGCTTGGACTTAAAAAATAGTGTAGTATATGCGTAGAACAATTTTGAGTATAAATAATCTGTAATCGATAAACGTTCGTGAATCACTAAATTACTTTCAATTGTCTCATAGAAGTACATAAATCGCTCTGTTCAACTGATTAATCGTGCTAATAATAATAAATGTTAATAAAAAACCTTTTTCTGTGCTATTTTACATTGATAATGCATACTATAGGATAATCAATATTTCATTTACGATGTAAAGTCGTAAATAATTATTTAGATGAATACGTTAACACATATTCAAAAAATTGAACTACGCATAAGTTTCAATTAATGAAATTAACCAATATTTTATTATGAGATCGTTGAGTGCGTGTCACGGATAGAAATCGCCCTGACCTTCGTGTATTTTCCGCGGCTATAACTACCATCCGACTGATTACGGACTTTCATCATTGAATTCTATGCCTCGTGAGTCAAATTACAATTAATATAACGTGAGTAATACGTTTTCCCTCGCGTGTTCAACAAAACATAGTCATTTTCGATCGCATAAAAGAGTGAAGGGAAAATTGTTTATATACAATACAATACGTATAAACTACTCTTGCAACACACCGAGCGTATACAGTAATACTATTCAAGACTAGCAACGAAAACTAAATAATTGGATTAGATTCTGAAGCACTAATCAGTTGTTATGCAGCGCAACTTTTTCAACGAGAAGGCTAATTCTATTTCAGTAATAATACGTTAAATGCACTGCCTTTTAATTGTGGTTATTCTATATTCATAAATATTATGATAATGTACTTAATTTTTGAGGTTTTACATGTTTTACCATGCCTAATATTTTAATAAGAAAATTTAGATTTTCTTGGACTATTTATTACTTTTTAATTTCTTTTAAAAATCATTTACAACTTTACACTACCCTATGTTGGATACAAATTAACAACAATGCAATAAATCGTAAAAAAATCAAGGTTTGATATTTATCTACCTATCTTTAATAAAAATTCACTTTATATTTTGTATAGTCTACATTTATTTTTATAATATTACAATATGTATCAATTAAGATTGCAAAATAACTATGATTGCTCTATGGTATAATAAATCAACTTGCGTGGTGGACCAACTAAGATGATAAAATATAATATTAAGTGTACTGATATCTTCAAAGTTACTATCGATTTTTATGAACACTATATTTGTAATGTTTCTTTGTTTATTTAAATAACCTAAAATTGTATTTCTTTGGTTTATCATAAATTTCTGTTTTATTGATTTCATTTTCGATTCCAAGTATTTATCAATTAATTTAAATTTTACTTATATGGGTTTAATGTTTTTTTTTTTTTAATTTAATATATTACGTATGTTCTTTTAAATTATACTTATGTCAATTACTTGATTAATTAAACATATTTATAAGTATCAACTTATATGAGTTAACATATAAATATAGTTTAAATTATTATCCAGTACATCACCATATGCGCAACTAGAGGGGCGCAATAGGGTTTTTGGCACTCCTATATTTTTTCTTGAGATCAATATAATCTATGATAATTGCAGTTAAATACAATTTTATTTTAATTTCGGTAATTTCAGCACCCCCAATATTTGGGCTCTAGTTGCGCTCATGTTCATCACATATACTATTGAGCTTAATGAAAAAAAAAAAAAAAACAATTTTAAAATCAGTGAATATTATTGTAAAGAGAAAAGTGTATAGTAGGTACAATGTTCAACCCGTTGTGGGTTTCGGAAGTAAAATTATATTATTATATTATTATGCTGTATTTGAAAACAATGAGCCGGTAATCACTTTTCGATGTTTAGAAAGCTGTTTGAGAATACAAAACGGCAATTGGGCTTAACGAGTTTTTAGGACGATAATAATTTAACCTTTTATTTTTTAGTACGTACGGGTACAT